GCATATGAAAGCATTGTAATGTTTACTGATAAACTGCCAAATTTCGATAACATTTGCTTACTAATTTAAAAGTTATAGAATTAAAACTATAACAAGCACAAAATGGTTACGAGCCCAGTTGAAAGAATTAATGCCTAAAGTGCTACATTTCTTGTTTTTGGTGTATGTTTCTTACTTATCATTGTTTTTTAATGAAAGTAACTAAAACGTAAGCATTAAGAAATTATTGGGTTAGATAAATACAACTTAAAGACAGTTTTACAGTGCTAAAAATTGGGTTTTAGATATCCATGACGAGCAAAGAACTGATAGCCTATTGTGTATCTTAGTGCTTAACAATAACCAAACTTAATGGAGAAAAAAAAAATCCTCTGTGAATTATGTATATGAGAAACTCATTATTAAGTATGGTAGTACTTAATAGTAGGGATTGACAAGGTTTCCAAATAATTATTGTGCTGAAAAACCACCCTATTGAATCCCTAAGTGAAAAAAACTGACCATTCAAAGTATGGTTATGATATATTATGTGCACATATACTAATAATATGATAAAAGGGTATCCAACATTTCCGGTATAACAATTCCAAAATTTCTAAAACAGCAGCTACCTACAAAACTACCTTCCTATCTGATCATGTCAGTGGGGCTAGTACCTAGATGGCTCAAAGTCTATTGCTACAAGATTTCTCCAACTTATTTGAGTGGTCTGAGGGTATCTGCTTTTGTTATTCCGATAAATATATACAGATTTATTTTATAAATAGTAAACATATCATACACATACTTATATAACTTTTCAACCTAACAGATGGCACTACATATCGATGGATAGAAATGTGACACTTTCTAAAGGTAAAGTACGAGTCTTAAAATGAAGGTAGGGATCCTGCTAGAAAAAGTAATGAAACAAGAATTAAAACTGCAAACACAAATATATAAAATTTAATCCCTACTCTGGCAGCTTTATACACTTATCTGTAGGGCAAAATGTAAGGATTACATTTTATAAATTTGTGATTGTGGTTTTAATTCTTGTAAAAGTTGTAGCTATTAGGGATATGGCTATACTAAAAGTTAATAGATGTAACGTCCATTCCATGGACAATAAAAACTGAACGAATAAATAGAAAAAAATAATTAAAACTTTAATAGAAATTAAGGATCATTGGTTATTTGTAGAATTGCTATAAGTATCCAAAATGAAATAAATGCTGCAATAAAAAGTACTCAAACAAGTAAAGTGATACTAGTTGGATAGATTTTAAAACATTTTTCAATCCCTACTTTCGTTGGCATTGTGATCTGTATAGCTAAATGAAGCAGTCTAAATTTGACTCAACACAAAGTTTGGACTCTGATACTGACACACACACACACACACAAATTCTTAAAAGCAAAATTGTCTTGTAATAATAGTCTATGAGTGGAGGTTGGGTGTTTCACAATAGTAGAAATTAAGAGTGGTGTTTTATGTTATATTAATTGATATTTCTACCATGGTGATATGACTTGCATCTTTTTAATCACACTAAATCAGTGCTTGGAGAGTTATAGTACAATTTGAAATGTTGTAGGCTCTTGAACCCAAGACCTGTCCCCTATATGATCTTCCTTGTTAGCTATCAGGTTTGTTTTTCATATTTGATTTTGGATTACATCTGATTGGATATCCCCCAATGCTTTTGGAAGCTTGTGCCACAAACATTTTCCTCTAAAAATTATACATTTTGTGCTTTCTTGACAATTGATACAATTTTTAATTACCTTATTTTGAGTTTTTGTTATTAGCAAAATAATAGATCAATTTTTATAGTTTTGTATGGATTTGGAATCTTTTTTTTTTTCTTCTAAATATGCTAATGTCTTGATCTTGGTATGGAAAGTATTTTCAAAATTTGTTTTAAACTTTGCTTCTAAGAATTCAGTTTTGCATTTGATATTTTTTCATCGTTGTTATATAGTATTTCATGTAGGAAACATAATTTATATATGTATATATATACACACATTTTCTGCTTGATGAAAGAAACTCCATTTAATTTAAGTCTGCATAGTTACAATGCTAGAAACTAGGGTTTGATACCCATGGTGGGCAGTGCACAAATAGCCCATTGTGTAACTTTGTGTTTAACTACAAACAAACTGATAAATTTTTTTCATGTGTTATGAATATGAAGTTACATTGGTCTTATGGGACTTCCAGTCAAGAGATTATGAACAATAACTTGTAATGCAAAATAATATTTCATTTAACTACAAAAAAAAAGTTTAGTATGCAAATTAGTGAAAACCATATGCTTTATTCCTATCATAACTATACAAAATTTCTGGGGAACATGCACCCATATCATCTGCTCTTTCCTAACACACTCTTTGGTGCTCACTCTTGTGGGACTAAAAAAAAGGAAAAAATTCTTAGAAGAACTTCATTGTCTAATCTTGTAGTTACGAGGTAGAACCCATTTGGCTACTTGTATAGAGAATGATACACAGTTCAACATTGCTTGCAATAACTCTCAGCTTTCTAAACATATCTTCACAACGATTGATAAGATTTTGTTAAAGATTACAAATATTTTGTACACAAAGAATGACAGTATTTTAAATATTTTATCAAAAGATTTGTAATTTTTATATTGTAGTTATTTGCACTCGGACTCTGAATATTTCAAGTATTGTCATCAATGTATTGCACAATGAAATGTTTAAAATTAAAAATAGAAAAATGTACATACCTCTTAAATTTTTGTCGAATAATCTTAAGAAATCTTCTTTTGGCTGTATTCTTAGTTGTAAGTTTTTACTTTTTTACATAGTTTATTTTTAATGTTTTATTTTCCTTTCCTGTTCTTTAGCATTATTACTTATCACATCACACCTCAATGGGCAATATTTGGGTAACATTGGCAGAAACACTTTAGACTTTGTCAGAATGTTGAGACGTTCGACTACTACACTAAGCCTGATGAACTGAGGCAGTTTGGCTTATATTAATAACACATAATTAACTAAAACCTAAATACAATTTGTCTATCTAACAAACATATTTATAGGTGAGAAACAATGCTAAAGTGCTAGTGAGGACAAAAGCAGCAACAATGCTAAGAGGGGTTTGACAAGTTCTCTATGGAATTCTTTGTGCCAATTTTAAAATAACTATTGGGTGCTTGTATTTTGAAATGTAGGCTTTCTATTGGTTATAAGCATCTAGCTTAACTAAGTATAATTGGCTGAGAAATTGCAACTCTATGTATAGAAGGTGGATGTTGAATCTGTCAAAGTTCCAAGAAGTTTCTTTTCTCTGTACCCTAAGGAACTTGAAAGAAGAATGTGTAAAAAGAGCAATTAACCTAGATTCTATCTATACATGGAAGGTTAGCATACATCAAGATGTTTTCAAGTTACAAAGTCTCAAAGCTAGGATTTTGTGAACTTGTGTGTCAAACTAAAGGTTAAGAATTTTTCTTTGAGGTTTGTTTTGAAATAAAGGAATTAAAAACTCAGATAATATAAAACTTTGACCTATGATGTAAATTTTAAAGCTAATTACACTGGCATACATTAATTGTAAAGTTGTTTAATTAAATTTTGAATGTAACAAAGTAAAATTTTGTGACATGTACATAACAGGGGTCCTTGTAATCATAGGGTTAAAGGATTGGGCTTTCTGGGATTGAATGCTTAATTATTTAGCACTCGCATTGTATAAAATTAGAATTAATCATGATCATGCCATTGTGATTTGTTGGACTAGTACATTGATATATTTTGAAGTAAGATAAAATATATTTTAAGCTTGGTTAATTGTAGTTGTTGTTTGTTTGTTTAATACTAATATTCTAAGACTTGGCTAATAATGTGCAACCTCATTTTGAAAATTGAGCAAGAAAAAAATGTATTTCCAGGTTTCATAACTTAAAATATTTTGTACACATTTTTTGTATTCCTTTTATTCCTTGTTTAATGTTACTAATCTTTGGAAAATAATCTAATGAGTGGAGTTTATGTATGAAGTAACAATTTTATGTAAAATCAGTCTTTCAGCATTGTGTAGTGGTGTGTTACACTTCTTTTAATATACATGTGAGTAATTTATCAAAATCCTATTTATATTAATTGATACCCTTTTACTTTTGATGTTAAGTATTTTAGCTTACATTCTAAGATCTAAATACTAGAAGTGTCAATGTTCTCATTTATAGTATGTAATCTACATTAAATTTCAATATTTTTTCATATAATTTCACTGTTTAATATATGAAAAATATTGTGAATACAACTTATGTGGTTTATAGAATGCTTGCTTCTTCCTTTTTGCAGGAACTGATCTCTTTGAAAGCATATGATTAATGTAACTTTTTATTTCAGGGAAAAAATTTGCTGTGGAATTATATTTAAGGGGCCAAATAATGAGGTGCTAATATATCCCAAGCTGCTCCGTCCATGTCCTTGCCGTAAAAGTCTTGATGCTGGCGGAGAATCTCCACAAACGGTACACCAAGAAAAATCTCAGTTTGCCGGAAAAGGTCAACTTTCAACCACTGATATTGCTACTTCTAGATGTGAAAAAGTCTATTAACATTGGCTAAACTTAGTTTCATTTATTTATTTTACCTTATGTAAGAGTTTTTATCTGAGTCCAGTCAAAGTAAGTTGAAAAACAAACTTGACTACAAAACATACAGTAAACAAATTTTGTGAGATGAATTGCTTTCACTTTTTGTTCCCCCCTCTTTAATGTGAAAATGTCAATAGATTATATGGTAGTTATTTCCAGTACTTCTCTGGCACATTCCAAGTATTTCATATAAAGGCTGGATTCAGTGTAGATTTAATTTTGTAACCTTCCAAAAAACAAGATACGAACAGTATTAAAAGTTGTGTTCAAGGTTACTTGTAAATTAACTAATAAACTTGAGATTTATATGTCATTAAATGATTTTTTAATTGTTGTTATATTAAATTCCAACAAATTGTTTCCTCTTTTTCTACAATAAATTACATCCCTATGAAAAATTTCTATCTAGTTGCATTAAAAAATATGAGAACAAAAGATTGACTTAATATTTTGTCCTCGGATTGGTGTAATGAGATAGTTATTTAATTTGTTGTTTTAAGATGGTAAAAACTTTTTCAGGAAATTATTTTGGCAAAATGCAAGGCTGTAAGATGTACCAGGTCTTTACTGTATTTATTCAGTGTAATAGCATCCAAAAAAATTATGAAATATTGTTTAGTTAATGTTTCACAATGACCATTCAAACAAATTCTGAAACTAAGTAATTCTGGAACAGTAATTACAGTTGGGTAATGAAACTGTTTTATAATGCAACAAATATAAGAGGAAAATTATATATGGATTAGAAATAAATACAGTAGTAACCAAAGAATCTTGCAGAAATTTTAAAGAAACTTTAGCTTGATAGAACCAAAGTTGTCATTTCAAATTGGGGTGGTTAATTAAAAGGTCAACTTCATATTAGGGGTTCCATGCCTCGGTGACCTATAGGTAGAACTTTAAGATCAGGTGGAGAAACAGCATTACTAGTATTTCGACTGTGTGTATGAGTTAAAGAATCACTTGCTTGGTTAGTTCAGGATTTCCTCATGAATTCATGATTCAATACAGTTGAATAGCATTTAGTTTTTGCTACTGTAAGTATCCTAACAGTTTACCACTTGGGTATAAAGAATTAATTGATGAATGAAGTAGGGGCTGGTACTTTAAGTTTATAAAATTGAATTTACATTTTTTAAATATTAATATATATTTTAAAAATGTGTTTCACTAATATTCTAATGTTTGGTGCACTTATCACTCAAATAGCATTTTCGGTTAATAGAAAAAATACTTGATATACTGTAGCTTTATGATTGTACTTGTAGCTCTAAGAGTAATGTTAGCATATTATGAAAATAATATAAACTGTTGATTCTGTTTTTCTCTCTTTTCACACCTCGCCCTTCCTTTTACTATAAGCTTGTGACGAGATATTCAAGCTAGTATGTTGATTTATCAACACTGTTTTTTTTTTTGAGAGAAAGAGTATTTAAACTTTTTTTTTCATGCTTGAATAGATTTATATTTTGGAGAAAAGTTGCATTTTTGTATGTCTAATAACAAATGATGGTTAGGACTGAGTGCTTGTGCACTCTAAAATAAAAACCTCTAATAACTTAAACTAAACAGAGTATATTATACTTCCACAACTTGGTGAAATAAGTTATTCATTTGTAAGACTGGAAAATATTGAATATGTTGTCTTATTTATATGTAGTTTTCACTGTGATTGCATACACATATACATATATTATTACTTAGTTATTTAAAAGTGTCAATCATGTAGTTACACTAACATTTCTGATCTTCAAGTTGAGTATTTAAAGATTTACTTTGACTGGACTCTCATCAAGATTTTTTATTGTACCTATTATTAAAATGATTTATGTCGTAATTATGGCTAAAATTATTCACAGATGTTGTCATTTGTTAAGATAATAAGCTGGATATTGTTTTTTAAATTTTTTGTATTCATTTATGTTATTCATATGTATGTAACAGAAAACATGTATTTATTACCACATTTCCAGCACTTGATGCACTTAGTGACTGGATATGTCTGTGGTTGATTTTGTATTACGAGATATTAAATAGTATTTATTTACTTGGAATGAAATAATCTGGTTTACATAACTACTCAAGTTTAGGTTTCATTTGTGTTCCTAGATAACTATGTAATAATGATGGTAGTAAATTGAATTTAATCAAGATATTGTTAGGTTAATTTTAAACTGAAAAAAAAAAATTTAAGACTATACTGAATTATTATTTGTACTCATTTTTATACAGCAAAAGAAGAAATGTACTAGTTGTTCTTAAACTAAGTAAGATGTTTAACTTTGTAGTCCATTGAAATCTACCTTTTCATAAAAAACTTGCTTGATTTCAAATATAGCAGTCATCTACAACTGAATTTGCTGTTGTCATTTGCCTTTAGGGTTTTACATATATACATTTTTCTTCCATTACTGGTTTATTTTAATCCTGTAATTCCTTTATTTATATTGTAGATTTTGAAAATAATTGACCTTTCTTACTTAATTAAGGCACTTACAGTCGTCTTGTTCCTCAATATCTTGAAGTTAACTACTGTCCTCTATGAGACATGATACATAAGATCATTTTAGGGTTTCATCCAGGTGGTTGAAAAATAAATGCATGTTTTTGTTTCATCAGCATTTAAAGTTTGCTAAGAAATCAATAATTTAGAATTTTCTTAAACAAGCTGTGTGTGAACTTTTTTTTTCCAAAAACTCTCATGTTAGTTCTTAAGCAGAATAATGGGAGACAAAGGAATTAGTGTCATATGTGAATATATTTTGGAGTCATTAATGATTATAACACTGCACTACCTTCTGTTTGTTTTTTTTTTTTTTTTTTTAAACTGTGATGTCATACATGTGCTTGATGTAGACCAAGCAGTTTTCTTCACAAATCATGTGTGCTTAATTTTTAAGCCTGGTTGAAACCAAGAAACAATCTGATTATAGCATAGAAATACTCTTATAAGTACAATGTATTGCATTTAGTGTTCTGGAATTGTAATTTTTCTATTATGCTGCTGATAAAACAGAAGTTGTTCTGCTTTTATCATCAGTATCACATTGTTGATATTGATGGTAACTGCTTTGTAAGTTTTTAAATAATAATGTAGATCTGAGTGGAGAAGTTTGATACTCAAGTTTTTTTATGTCTCAGTGTTTCAGTTATACATGTTGACCATGAAACTAAAACAGGGTGATAATCAGGTAACTAACCAGAATTATCACTATTTTATGTAGTCTTCATAAAGTATAGAATGAATATTTTAAATGTTGTCTATTGATCTTAAGACAACTCTGGTAATACACATAAAAAGAGAGCATTGAGCTGTGATATTTGGCAAATGATGTTTACCCTGAGGAATCCTGTCAACTACTTGCAATGTACTATGGTAATTATACCATGAATTATTAGAGCTTGCTTCAAATGCTGCAGAACCAGTTACAAGTGTTCCTTGCTTAGTTTTTCAGCCGCAAATTGGAAAATAATCTCACCTCACAGAAAATCACATGAATAACAAGATAACAATCTTATTGGAGAGGCCTAGTCAACTAGATTTAAGTTATGACTAGGCCATCAAAATCTGTGCAAGAAAGAACTGTTAGAAGTTTCACTAATAGTCTCGAAATGAATATAGTATAAGTAGTTAGTAAAGTCTGCGAACACTTTTTTATAATCACTTTGTACACTTTATTATGTAGCATGTATACAGTGTTTGGTTGCCCTTGTACTCGCAACATGTACTTTTTAAAACCTAAACATGACCTGTGCTAAATGTGTGTAACTGAAATGTTGAGATATAAAGTCTAGAGTAAGGAAAGGTTCTGTTTTTTCTTAATAGTGTTGACAGCTGCTAACAAGACATTATCAAAGTAGTTGAGAAATATGATAACAGAATAGGTTTATCTGTTTCTGTTCACCCAGGTAACTTCTGACCTCTAACATTGGGTGAAGGAAAAATAACTGTCAAAAAAAGCATGCAGTAATTTTTTTTTTATATGGTCTTGCCTCTTCTCAAAGAAATTTGTCTTGATCATCTTTCTGCCCTCTAAGCATTGCTAAAATATTTTAACACACGGCATTCGAGTCTATATGCCCGCTAAATTTCGTGCCACTTTTGAATGTGGATATTAGCATGTGATCACCCTTCGCCTAGCATTATGCCATGTATAATGGTACATCTAGCTCCTTTTATGTTCCTGCTCAATCCTCACTTTCTCAATTGGCACAGCATTGCTTAGACGCATTTTTTATCACATATGGCTATTGTTTACAATTTTACTTAGTTGGCATTTCAATACCTTTTTCAACACTTTTCTTTTACTGTCTTTACATTCAATTGTTTCAATTTTTTTTTGCTTTTTTTTAGTTACCAAATTATATGTTAACTTGTAATGACTTTGTGATTTAATATATTGACAGTGGAAGTTCCTGTTACAGTGGACAGCACTTCAGTTACAACTACCCAGGCATTGGGTTCAACGTTATCTGCTGAGGAGGTACAGGCCTTAATTCACAGGGAGCTAGATTCCTACATTTGTTTCCTTTTCCTTCTAGCTTGCGGACATCATCGGTCCAACATTTATGCTGTTAATGTTACTAGAAGACTCTACCTTTCCTCTTATGTTGTCATATGTCAAGCCGGTCCTTCCTCCCTAAGACCTCTGTTTCCAAGAAAAGCCATTTGGCATTCACACCCATTTCTTTATCTTCCATCTTTCACCTTTACTCCGGTTCTGATCCCAATCAGCTTCTTTGTCAGGTTCACTCCCGATAGTGTTATGTGGCATGTACTGCCTCCTTTTGGGGTTCATGTTTCCAACCTTTTATTCCCTGGAACCAACCCTCCCATGATCTATCCCGTCACAATAACTTGTTGGATTTGTCCACTCCTTAGACTGGCATATTCAGGCTTATCCATGGATGGTTGCTGTCTTATCAGTGTTTTTTCTCATCAAATATGTCATATCACCATGTCTTTGGCTGCTCGTCTTCGCTGTCCATTGGAAGAAATAGTTCAGGCTGGAATGTTGACTATTCCATATTCCTGCACTATCTGGCTGTATCTTTCTTGGGTGGGTATCTTCTCCTTCCCATGGTGATTCTAAACACGTTCATTCTCCTTTGACTTGGGTATGTCTTTTCACAACATTTCATTTATTTTTTCTTTTCAGGGACCCTCTTTTATTGCTACTAATAGGATCCCACTCTGTGGTGAATGTTGTCTGGTCAGGTGTGCTTTTACTCAAACCTGCACTATATACCGGTAGAGTTATAATGCATACTGTAGCGATAGGGTGTTCTTCAAGATCACTAGTGGCATGCCTAGTGATAGATATACTTGTGTGTCTTTAGGTGCCTATTCCTGGCAACCCTTTGATTGCATAAATCGGGGACAGTCTGTTTTTCAAAATAGAGAATCGTGGACACCCATTGCATTTTTCTAGTGTGACATTCCTCTCTGGACTTTCCACTGCATTTACTTCCCTCCATTTTTTCTGGGGTGGTGGACCAAGGAGGCTTCCTCCTTAGTGTGAAATATAAACTTACCTTATAATACACCCACACATTTATACACTCGGTGAGAAGAGAACAAAGCCGGATTACCTCTTTCCCTTTGACCTGGATGCTTATTTCCAGGCGGACTGATTGTCTGCTAGAACAAGACTGGTCTATGGATCTTCCTCATAACACCAGGTTGAGGTTGAGTGTAGTAGAGGCTTCCCTTCTCGTTAATTCCAGTTGCAGGAGTTTTTCTTCCCTGCTCTTACAGTTGAGTTTCGGGGACTTCATCTGCCACTTAATACCGGCAACAGGATGTACATACACTGTTCCTACAACTGAGCAAATGTTTCACATTATCCTCATAATTCTGGGTGCAGAATGTGTTTTCTCTGCACTTAAGGTTGGGTGAGTTATGGTTCCTCCTCTTAACCATTTCATGGCAGGCTCTGCAATTTGCAATAATCGAGTTGTAAATTTCACTGGTACAACAATACATGCAGTAACTCTAAGATTTCTTAACTTATCCTCTCAAAAACTGGTAAGATTTTGTTAAAGATTATAAGTACCTTGTACACAAATAATGATATTATTATAATAAGTGTTTTTACTAAAAATGTTATTTTTCTATTGTAGGTACTTGCACTCAAATTATTAACAAATCGAGAGCAAGGTGATTTTCATTTTAAGTATAAAAATACTTTTCTTCATTTTATCGTTTCTCATATTTAATTTGCATAATCTTTAGAACCTCCTAAAAGGATATCAATAGTTTTTTTAAGGTAAACGTTTATATTTTATTTTTCATTTTCTCTACCATATCACTAACTCTAGCTCAATATACAATGCAATGAAATAAGTAAAATTAGTAAATAGATAAAAAAACAACATACCTTTTAATTTTTTGTAGAATATCTTTAAAGGTTTTCCTTTTGTTCAATTTGTAATTTCAGGATTTTTTTCTTTTCACATATAGTTAATTTTTAATGTTTTAATTTTTGTCCTTTGCCACTTATTATTCATCTTGACACAAGTCAATGATGCCCTCAAGGCATATTACAATTTCTTTCGATGACATGCACAACCCTTTGGCAAAATTTTCATTCAGCACGTAAAATATTTTGTATGCCTTGAGAATGGATGCGAAGTATGATGTATATTTAAAAAACGTTTAAAACCTTTTAATTATGCATTTTAAAACACAAATGATACATAATTAACTAAAATATAATAGTAAGACCTAAATACAATTTAAACTGTATCTCTAACTATAACATATTTAGGTAAGAAACAACCATACGTGCTATATTCAATCAAGCAACGAACAATACTACAGTCAGTTACATGTGCTTTATGGTGACAATAGTGTGCCAATTTCAAAATACCCATTGTTAGATTAT